AAACAAAACAGATTTACCAAAAAAAAATCCATCTAACTTTCTTCACATTGAACATGGAGAATACCTCACATATGCCTTTTAATTTATAAGATATCATAAGCTATAATAACTTCATTTTAATTTTCATGAGCAAATTTAGATCTGAATGAATCTTGAAGTTTAGGAAAAGGACCTTAGGAAAACCTATGTTGTATTCCTCATTTATGGGCGAGACCAACAATGTCAAAGCAGATAATAAACGTTTTATTTAAGGTTTATTGCTCTAGAGTGGCTAAACCAGGTGACCTGAGACTTGGTTCTTAAATTTTTTATCAGTTGAGAAGTGTTTGGGGGAGTTGGAGGTAAATACAATTAAGATCTATTGTACATATGTACAAAACTGTCAGAGTGGCACACTCCTCTAATCCCAGCACTTGAAAGGCAGACACAGGTGGATCTCTATGAGTTCGAGGGCAGCCAGGTCTATAGAGTAAGTTCCAGGACAGCCAGGACTACACAGAGAAACCCTGTCTCAAAGAAGTAAATAAATTATTTTAAAAAAATTCAAACATGCTGAAGTTCACACCAATCTTAACTGGTAAGGAAACCTATCAGCAACCCTGAGAGAATTTCTAACGAATCCTTTACTATTTTCTGTTACATGAAATGTTCACAAGCTATGGAACAAGTGAAAAATTAATGACAGCCTGTAGGTTGTTTGCACTGATCCCTTGAAATCACCTCTAGTCCAATCCTGACTCTAACTCCTGTGTGGGTCACCCTGCGCTTCGCCTGTACAGTGGAGAAAACTGAAGCCAACAAATTTGCTGGGAGAACTAAATATCTGATTGCAACTCTAACTTACACAATACTGTCACTGTCACTGAAATGTCCTCAACTTAGGGTGATTTCATTTATCAGACGTAACCAAAACTGGTAAAAAGAAATTCCAAAATTGCTTCTAATAATTAACTGTAATTCCTTTATGTCCCAAGTACAGTAAAAGAAACCAGTAAGCAGGACTGGAACCAAGCTCTAGTCTGGGGTTGCTGTCCTCACAGGAATCAAGTGTCTGTGGGGCATTCTGGAAGTTTCATAGAGCACCATCAGGAATGCTACAATTCAAACTAGCAGATGGGCTGTGTTCTTGAACTAGAAGACTTGGCACAAGGGCAGATAAAACTCCAGGCACTGGCAGATTTTACAATCCATTCATTTTCTTCAAAGTCTAAGTTTGCCTGAACTACTAGTAGCTTTTTCTGAGTTTGTGTTTGTGATCTGTGAATAGTCTTATGAGTCTTATGTAGTCTTATGCAGAACAGGCTGGTCTTGAACTTGAAACTGAAGTGCTGAGATCACAGGCACTCACTACAACACCTGGCTTAACTGCCTTTTCATCATTACTATTCAAGATAGATCAGATATGGGCGAGATGCTAAAATGATCAGATGATAGTTTCACAATTACCTTTTCATCCCTGAAGAAAATTCCAATTTAGGTCTATAGTAGGTAGACTATAGCCTAGTAAAGACAAGTAGTAATAGGCAAAGACCTTATGCCAAAATAATACATATTGCAATTACTTTCCCCAATACGTAACACTTACATGTTTAATATACTAATAATTAATTGTGTTCACAAAACCCTGTAAAATAGTTACATAAGAAAAATCTTTATCGATCCTAAGTCAGCATCCAAAGCAGAACTCCCAAAATCACAAGACTGTACTTGCCAGTTTGGGATATACATTGAGACTTTGACTTAAAAAGTTTCACATCTGGCTGGGCAGTGGTGGTGCACGCCTTTAATCCCAGCACTTGGGAGGCAGAGGCAGGCGGATCTCTGTGAGTTTGAGGCCAGTCTGGTCTACAAAGTGAGTATCCAGTACAGCCAGGACTACAAACAGAGAAACCCTGTCTTGAGAAACTGTCTTCAAAACAAAACAAAACAAATCCCATATCTGCCCAGGTGGTGGTGGTATACAGCTTTAATACCAGCATTCTGATGAAGGCAGAGGCAGGTGGATCTCTGTGAGTTCCAGAACAGCCAAGATTGTTAGAACAGAGAAACCCTGTCTTGAAAAACCAAAAAATAAAAGTTCATACCTAACTTTCAAATTAGCAGCTGACTGCATTTCAAATGTTTTGAGATTGGTTTGGATTTGCTAAGAAAATAGTTGCTGACAGTGCACTTATAAGAAACTATTAAAACCATTTAAGCTTTTTTTTTTAAAGAAAAAAAAGTTTAGCTTTGGTGATACTGGGATCTGGGGCCTTGTGCTTGGCGCTCTGAAAAGAATTCAGCCTTCTTTTTATCCCTTTGGGTGTGTGTGGGGGAGCGGTTAGTGTCTCATTATGTTATCCTGCCTGGCCTCATACTCAAAGATCCACCTGTGTCGGTGCACTCCTGAGTTCTGAGATTAAAGGTGTGGTCTTGCTATAATCAGAATTTCTAATGTTTAAGTTTCTCTTGCAAAATACCTCATGGATTTGAAAACCCAACGCTCCAACATCTTATGAATGGGACTTGGGAGTAAGAATGGCTTGGATACTGACATGCTTGGGCGGGGGTGGGGCTGGGGTCTAACTTCGTAAGTTTGGATCCAGACTGGGTACACAATAAGACTGTCTCAAAACAATAAACTTTTAATATGGTCTGAACATTTGTGAATGCCTAAATGTTTGAGACTCTTCCCCTCCTTACCAAAAAGCATCACATTCCTATGACACTTTTTAAAGATAATGGTTTACCAGATTAAAAGGAGTCATGTTTTAGTGAGTTTGAGGCTTAATTACCAGATTTAAAAGAAAAAAAAAAGTGTTCACAGCTGGGCAATGGTGGCGCACGTCTTTAATCCCAGCACTTGGAAGGCAGAGGTAGGTGGATCTCTGAGTTCGAGGCCAGCCTGATCTACAAAAGCTAGTTAGTCCAGGACAGGCTCCAAAGCTTAGATGAAACCCTGACTCGGGGAAGGAGGGGAGGCGGGAAGTGTTAGCCTTACAACACTTCCCTAGTCAACAGTACTAGGTAAACCAGATTCACATCCCATGTTGGTCTCTCCCTCCTGAACCAGTAAATTCCACCTGAGAGTAAAGGCTAGGGTTCTGGTACCATTCAATTTACTGCATGACCTAACCTCCCTGGGCCCTAATTTTCCATTTATAAGATGAAGTTGTACTGATAGGTCTAAAGGAAAAACTACATATTTTAGACTTTCAAGAGACTACTGCTGGTATGAACGCTGGTTCCACCATCTCTGCTTGATAAAATCCTGTTCATCCTCTAGAAATAAATTCTAACCCCACATCTTTCAAAAGATCTCATTACCAAAAATGACCTCTCAAACCACTACAGGTGTTAGCTACTACCTGTTACTACACCGTAGCACTTTACCACAGAAGCAATAGACAGGACACAACAGTAAATAGGTGGTTACTATTAAGTTATGAAGTTTGGAATACTTCCTCTCATGCATAATGCAGTAGCTGAGAGCAATATCTACAATGTCTTTCAAGAACCATTTATCTCCCGCAGTCGGAACTACTCAGTGAGAGCCTCCTGGTCATCCTGACAGAGGCGGGACTGCACAGACCGGGGCTCTACAACATTATCAGCGCTGTACAACTCTAGTTTTCTCATCTCTAAAACGGACCAACAGGACCTCATTTTACAAAAAACTGAGAAAAGGACTTGGTTCCCTCCAGAATCAATCTCAAATTCCTTAATGCAGTTTTCTAAGCCCCCCGCCCCCCATAAACTAGCCAGTATCTCCTTCAACCAAACTTCGGTTTCTTTAAGCACTTTCTTCCTTTCTTGATCATAAATGCCTTGTAACCAGTTTTCTCACTAGTTGAGAAAATTCTAATCATTTCTGGAGTCTACTCAAAAGACAATTGTGTAGAGAGCCTCCAGCTAGCTGTTCCTCCTATCCTCTCCAGGGCCCTGTAGGTCAAGTAAATCACAAATTTTTTCATAAAGTACTTTTTTGGGGGAGGAAGATGAGGCCTCTAGATCCAATGTTAAGCAACATGTAACTGAGACAACTGCAATCCCTTTTTTAAGTCATTTATGTTAACTAGAATAAACCCGGAAGGGCAAAAAGGAAAATAAAACGACGAAGGGGGCTTGAAAATTTTACTGAGATCCAAGACCAGTGGGAAAAGACCAAGTCAGTTTCGAAGCCGTCCGGAACTCCCTGCTCCCCTCGCCCCGCCCGTTAAAAGAAACTTAGGAACTCGCGCCCGGAAACTTTCCTCGAAGGGTGGTCACTTTTTAAAACTAAGATTATCTTTTCCTCTGGTCCTCACGCCCTGTCCTAAGGAAGAAAGTCTCGAGCTTGGGGAAAGGGAGCGCGATTCGCCCGGAAACGGCAGCCTACAAAGTTTCTCAGCACGGCGCTCCACCGGAACCGAGAGAAGCGTGACGGTACCGGGAGCACTCAGCACGAGTGCTGCGGCGGGAGTGAAAAGAGCGCCGGGCCGCCTGCCCTAATTTTGTTTAACCGGGGAAACTAAGTGGCCACCCAAACCCTTTCGGAGAGGGCGACCCAACGTGCTTTCCCTTCCGGAACGCCGATGACGGTAGGAGGCCGGCCTCGACGCCGTCGCTCTGAGGAGAGCTGGGTGCGGCCAAGTCTGAGGATCCGGAGTCCTCGCCGGCTCCGCAACTCCGGGCCGCCTAGGCCCGGCTGCTCCACATGGCGGCTGCCGACCGCTAGGCCGCAGGCCCGGCTTTCCACACCGGCGTGGGTTCGGCTTCCTGCCTCAGTCCTTAGCCCTAGGTCCGTGCTTAGTTTCTCACCTCGTCCCCGGACATGGCTGCGGTTCGAGCGGGTTGGGCACGGACGGGAAATCACACCGGTCAGCTTCAGAGCCCAGAGTGAGCGCAGCTCCCACCGATACCTCTCCCAGCACCGCGCTAGGTTCTTGCATCAGCGAAAGGGAGCGACACCCCGCCCTCCTCTCAAACGTTGGAAGTGCGCCTGCGCAGATCTTGCCAACGCGCAGGCGCACACCAGAGACAACCGCGTGAGCTTCTTATGGCGCGAGTTACCAAGCGACATTCCGGCGCTAGGCATGCTGGGACTTGTAGTTTGCGTAGAAAAAAAAAGCGCTAGAACTACAGCAGTTCCCGAGGTCGTGAGTCACTGTTTCAGCTTCAGTCAGGAGGTTCGGTTTCTTATGCTGCCTGTTGCCTCGGCGGTTCAGAAAGCGCTGGGTTGCTGGTCGAGTGAGTCTGGGTTCATTCCTCCGGAGTTAGGTTAGTGAGACTCTAATAGGAACCCGAGGGACTGACTGATTTCCAGCGCGCTCCTGGGATGTTCTAGTATTCGAGGAATTCTGGGGGAGCCGGAGTCGTGCACCTCATTAAAGGCGTTTTACTCTGTGGGAAGTTTGAGTGGCTGACTTTTTACGTCAGAAGTGTCTTCCCTGGTTCCCCTGAGGTAGACCGAAAAACAGCCCAGCAAGCGACTGTCTTGACCTGAAGCTTAGAAATACAGTCATAACTTGCTTAATGAAGGGGGATATGTTGAGAAATGTGTAGAGTAGGTAATTAACTTGTTGACGAGCCTCATACCACACCAGGAAAGACACGACGGTGGTCATACGTTCTTTTTTGCGAAAGCTTCCTTCTATTGTGCATGACTACTTGTTTATGAAGTCTTTGACAATTCTGGATGCATCATCCCATTTCCCTGGGGAGCTACAGCTGCCACTATCTTCAGCGCTATCCAGTCAAAGATCATGAAGAGCCGAGCGGTGGTGGCATATGCCTTTTATGCCAGCACTCGGAAGGCAGGAGCAGGCAGATGTCTGTGAGTTCGAGGCTAGGCTGGTCTACAACGCGGGTTCGAGGCTAGCCAGGATTCTTACACAGAGACACCCTGTCTCAAAAACAAACAAAGATCCTGGAGACTACCCTTGTAGTTAGACAAGTCGGGCTTGTAACCACGAAGAACAGCAAAACAAAACTATCCGAAAGAAAGCTGTTTGGACTTCTCAGGTGATTAAGGAGAGGGTTCAAGTAAGCAGACACCATCAAGAGGTGGGAGTGATTATTAGGGTTGTAATGCTTCTTGCATAAGAAGAATCAAGTGAGGATTGGTGAAAAGGCCCCTCATAGTACATAAAATGGGGAATAGTTAGTTATTTTTGTGGTTGGCACTAATGTTCTTTTGGTTTTATTTTTTGTATTCATTATTGTAGGAGGGAGGCTGCTTGTTTGTTCCCGGCTGCTCAGCCCCAAAATAATCACACAGAAATTGTATTATTTGCAATACTGTTTGGCCAATAGCTTAAGCATATTTATGACTAACTCTTATATCCTAAACTAACTCATCTCCATTAATCTGAGTATCTCCATGTAACTGTGGCTTACCAGGTAAAGTTCTGGTCTGTCTTCAGTGGTTCTCCTGACTCCGCTTTCTTTCTCCCAGCATTCAGTCTAGTTTTCCCTGCCCACCACTATTCTGCTCAAGACAGTTTCTTTATCAACCAATGGTATTCACAGCATACAGAGGGAAATCCCACATCAATTCACACATGATTACAGCATCTGTTTGTCTCTGTTCTTGTCTACTGAAATAACAGAGTGGTCTGTCTGAGCTGGGCGTGGTGGCACTTACCCTCCTAGCACTTGAGAGATAAGGGCAGGAATATCAGAATTTCATGGCCAGTCTAGACTATATAAGATCTTTTCTTAAAGAGAGAGAGAGAGAGAGAGAGAGAGAGAGAGAGAGAGAGAAGAGAAGAAAAGAAAGAATAAGAAAAAAGATCATCTTAGTGTCTTGTTACCAATCCTTTTGCTGTGAACTATTAAAGTAAACCAAATTAAAACAATGTTCTATGGAATTACTTAGTTCATCACACCCTAGATGTATCAGAATACCCCCCCCCCAATCCGGGGCTATTCTCACTCTTTATGTCTAGCATCTCTGCAGTTCTTTAGCCGCTGGACAGTAAGTTAATGGTGATAATCAATCAACCCTAAACTAAAGTATATATTTTCAATGGCTTTGGAACAATCCTTATTCTCTTCAGTTGACCAACTTTGTACAGCTATTTTCTCCTACCTGAAACATTCTCTTGTAGAGGAATGCAGAAGTTCATAGGACTCAAGAAGTCCCAGGAAAATGTAAGTCTCTCAAAGCACTATAAGGTACAAAACCCCTCCCCCAAAGTTATAAAAGCAAGGAATAATTTTGAGGGAGAGGAAGCTTGCTTTGACTCCAAGCTCTTTAGGAAGCTCCAGGGATGCAGCTTTTGTGAGTGCTCACCCATGTTGGGGTGGGCTTTTCAGTGACCTAGTTGCCTGAGAGTCATCAATGCTCCTGCTTCAATAAATGTATTGGTTCAGCAAACTGATGTGTGGGATCGTTGTTCTGCCATTGGTGCCCATTTGGGTTGAATAGACATTGTTCTTGTCTCTCCAGGAAAAGCTATGCAACACACAAAATAGGTCTGTAGAGACTATGACTTACAGCTGTGACAGTGCTGGGGCCTGCAGGCCCTCAGACCCTGAATTTTCTATGATCCCCCAACTTGCCTGCCAGAGTAAACAACTTGTTTTCCTGTGCTTGCAGCTGCTCTGAGCACTAGACCCTCATGAGTTCCTGATGACAGGGGAGTGGTTTCTGGTGGGCTTGCAGCTAAAAAATCCTTAGAGCTGGGGTGTGGCCATTAGTCAAGGAGAGCCCCATATAAGCTGCCCTGGAATGCAATAAAATTGGCATTCTTGTTTCAAGGATGACCTCTCTCTCTCTCTCTCTCTCTCTCTCTCTCTCTCTCTCTCTCTCTCTCTC